AATCAGCAGCATTAGAGTGTATAAATTTTACTTCAACGGCAAATGAAAGTAACAATTTTTGTTATGCTACTTTCCGTCAATATATGTATTACAAATGCAAGTTAACGATTTCCCGACATGATAAAAAGTATTAAACTGTTAAATTTACATATATTATATATATGACTATGAACTGTTTCTATTTCAATTGTATATGGTAGTATATATATATATAAAAACTGCAACGTTGGAAAGAAACAGGTATATATATATATAATATATTGTCAATTCGGTGCAGACTGTGCTGATGAATCTTCAGTTACTTATCTTTCTACGAAACTGCACATATAAACAGACAAATGCACAAACACACATATGCACTTGGTTCAGTGCAAACAAAATACTGTATTTTGACAAACTTACTTGATGTGTCTTTGACTCGAAGGATGCTCATGAGGAATGCCTTTTATTTACTAGAATATCGTGAATATTAGTAGCAATCGTCGATAACATGTACAAGTGTAACTGGACAGCTCAGTTTGTACATAATTTTGCACAGGAGATGAGTTTCAAAAAGGGGAAATATTGGAAATTTCAGTTTTTAACAAATTAATTAATTATCGGGATTATGACCTAACGATAAATGAAAAACCAACAACGCAGGCACCGTTTAAGTCGGTGCATCATTTTTAAGAGATGCACATTGCAATGCGGATTTAGGCAAAAAGCGACATGAATAAGATTAAAATGATGTAGTTACAAATGATTCTTTCTCATATAAATATGGCCAGAGTAGTGCCTACATGAATAAGTAAATAATGGTTAAAAAAGAAAACTTGTAACGCGAATAAATGTATAAATGTCAGATCCGCGTTCTAAATAATAAGTTTAATTAAGAGAAATGTTCAAAACTTAACAATAACAGGCGCGACTAATTCAGTAATTTTATATAAGTGTTTCTGGAGCTTGACAGAGGTTGTCTCGGAAGCCTTGAAGAAAATGTAACATCACAACAGTTTTCTATACCCATCATATGTTAAAATGTATAGTATAGAGGAATGTTATCTTATCTCACCTCAATAAACAACAATGAATTGATAAACGCACCATGACACTGATTTCATACCATTTAAGCCAACCCTTCTGCCAACTGTATGTTTTTCAATCACTTGATTGATATTTTAATATCGATGATATTGAATCTTGAATATTACATTTATACCAACGACTAACATACCGTTTTTTACAAAGTATACAATATTTTCACAAATAGCCTTGGCCAGAGAATGCATATTGTTTACACCAAAAATCTGATTTGTTTCGATTGAACCCGTGCTTCTGATTATATTACACTTAACAGTGGCGGCGCGTGGTCATTTTGACAACCGGGGCAAGCTACTGCGGGACCAAGTCACCCCAATCTACGGGGATAGGATGAGCGCTGTAAGTTCTCCCATCATTTTATGAGTATAAAAACCATTCCATCGGTAACAACCAATCGGCAAAAGCGACAATTTTTAACGATAAGAAAGTGTCTTTAAAATCGGTCCAAGTCAAGGGATTAATAAATATAGACATAGTTTATTTTGAAACCTCTTTCAAAAGGAAAGGCAATATTTACCCAGATAAATACAATGACATATTAACAGAAACTTCGGGAAATCAGACAAAACCTAAACGTTACTATGAAGAAAGGAAAGGTAATGCAAAGATAAGGACATGCGTCGCTCATTCATAGATATATATGCTGCTAGACTTCTACTGCTTGAACATATATGCAACACGCCGCGGTTTCTTGGAAGCAAAATGCTCAATAACGCGCTGATTAAAGTCATGCATCCCAGAAATAACGTCTCTGTGAATGGATAAAACAGCCAAGGAATTTAATCTATCTTGCTTCATTGTGTTTCTGAGATACGTTTTAATACGCTTCAGCGTGCTGAATGTTCGCTCTGCGTCGGCGGAAGAAATAGGCGTCGTCAAAATGATGTCCAGAAATTTTGCAGACGCCGCAAAGGTAGTTACTAGAGTGTTATCTATGAGGAACCCATAGAGCGCGCAAGTTGATGTGATGTTCAAAAAAGTTTGATTGGTGTATATACATCGCAATTCATTTCCCAATTTACCCACGTTTATCATGGGGTAAAATTTGGCGAAAACGGAGTGCGAACTAGTGCATCAACCTTATTCATTATGAGGTCTAAGGCTAAGAAATGGGAAGCCGGAAAGAAGTGAGGAGCTCAAAAGGAATGTGGAAAATCGAAAGCAAATGGACTAAAGGTCTCTAACTGATTCAAATAGCGAAACAAGCGACGAAAACGAAGGCGAGGAAACTATCAACTCTTCAAGCAACCAACGAACGAGAAGGAATGCGTGAATATGTCAACACGTTGTTGTAAGAAACGTCGGCATTGTGTCGTCATAATTTCGGGGCTAGCCCCGATGATTTAGTAAAAGAAACAGAAAACAAACGAGACAAACGCGGCGAGTGGAAGATAAAAGAGAGAATACGATATACAATGAGCAACCGGGGCAAAATCGGCGTCGCCCCGTCGACGTTCGGCGAAGGCTTTGCGAGCGAAAAATGAACCATGTCGGGAGAATATGGCTAGTGGAGACAGTCTGTGCAACCGATATTGAGGTATTTTTCGAAGATTTTTTATTATACCGAAAAAACAACCGGGACATTGGCCCGGTTGGCAGTATTGACGCGCCGCCACTGTTACACTAGTATGTGTATAGTAGAATAAAACACATCTCATGTTTATATTGTTCAAAATGCTGCACAATTTGTATTAACTTACATTCATCCATAAGTATACAGTTACCCAAATAATTGGTATCCTTGAATACCTGCTCTCCAACCTTATCGTTTTGATCATTTTTTTTTTTCATTTTTGCAATACAAATTCAATATGTGGCAAATTCCGTTAGTTAAAAGAATTTTATACCATACGTTCGCTTTTATAATAGAAAATAGTAAATTGCAGCAAATCGTGTTTACCTCTATTGTTACGTACCAATAGACGCAGACATTAGAAACAGAATGTAAACGACGTAGAAAAGTAAAATATATATCATGTTAATAATGTACAGTCAGTAATTCGTTTTGATAATATTTTATTTATGTTATTTTTCATTATAAAAGGAAAAGTGAAATGCATTTGATAATTCATATACACAGCATTTAAAACAATATACATTCACAATAAATATAATATTCAGAATATTCAATCATATATTAGTTATTAACACAATTCTGTTAACATCCGGGAGCACTTAGCGCCCCCTTTGGGAATCACTGCCGTAGACGGTTTTCATAACCAGCATTTAATAATTTTTAAGCTCAAGTCTTTGATATAAATCAGCAAATAAATAAAATGTAGAGGTAGAAAGAATGACACCGCAAACTTTTTGCCGGCTCGATTTGACGCGTGAATAAATGCCAAAAAGTAATCGATTTTTTTTTTAACTTCGACATTTTATTTGGGTACGAAATAGTCTTAAACCAAATTTCAGAGTTCCCGCCATTACCAACGCCATCGCCGTTTCAGCTGACATTCTAGGCACCGTATTTAGGACAGTACGACGGTTTTTAAATGTCAAAATCAACTGTAAGAGCGGACTGCTGATGGAGTGTTGGCTAAATAAAATATTCAATGATTTTATGTCGGCCTTATCTAAAACAACCTAATTTATAACAGTACCGGTATAACGTTAAACGTTTACGGATAACGTATCGGTACCGGTACCGGTACGGCAAATGTTCTACGCCAAAAGAGCACTGGTACCGGTACGGTGTGTGGGGGGGTCTTGTGACGTTGCAATGACGTAGTTTTTGAATAATACTGTTATAGGATATGAAACTGGGTATGACATCACTTAGCACTGCCTGACGTGTAGCATAATCTGATAATGCTGTACGGTAATGCGCCAGCCGTCAAGTGTCAAACTGAATAAGGTACTGAAATACAGGATCTGCCGACATTTTCAGAAAGTTCTGCAGTTAGAATGCTGGAAGATAGGGCTGTAGAAGGTTCATTCCAAGCAACTGGAATTTCACCAATTTTTTCAAAAATGTAACGTCCAGACGTTAGAGTTACTAAAATCCCGGAACTGTGATTTTCAGTTCTGGATGTCTTCTCTATGCTTTTGCAGTTTTGTGCGATATGTATGATGAGGAGTGTTTAGAACAGGCATAATCCTGATACTGAATATTGCCTTGACTGCAAATGAAAGTGAACACAGATCAAGATCAAAGCGAAAACTAGAAAATTTAGAAAGAGGACAGAGAAAGATACATACAGACATCTACTCTAGTATTTCAGTTTTTTAATGCTGACCAAATTAGTTTTTTAAGGCTAGGGCGTAAAAATTTAATTTTAGCCATACCGGTACTGAATAAAATGTCTTGACTACCAACTACTGAACTATACTTGACTTGAGACTCTAAGACTATCCCAACTGAATTATCACATGATTCATTGCAAAAATTGAAAATTCTCAATACTATTACCACAATACATGCAACATCTCAAATTAGACAATACCAGTTTGTTTCGCATTTTATCGCTGTAAAATCATGAATGTGAAAGGTCTTGTTTTGCCAATTATTAAAGTTATTGCAAAATATATGTAATTATAAAACATTATGTGGAAAATATTCAGTAGGCTATTTCACTGTTATTGTTGGCGGCCCATTTTTCTACTTTGTTTGACAAAAATTCGTAAATTTTGATATCCGAAATAGATGAATTTTTTTCACATGATTAAAATTGCTTCATTTCTGTATTTGACTTTTGTGTCGTGATTTGCGTACAATTTCATAAGTCAAATTTAACTATATCATGATTTTGTTTCTCGATGAATGAATTTAGAAAATTCTGAATTAATCGCAAACCAAACCTTTTGAAACTCAAACTACTCAACTTACATGATCATCCCTATCTCTCTGCTCTCAATCTTTTCACATTATTTGCTATGTTTAAGAGTGCAAGGAAGTAAACATCTTCTCATGAACCCATTTTATTTTATAGTATTACAGAACGTCCTATGTCTGAGTTAAGCTAATTTAATCATGTCGACCCCGCTGACATCAAGGAGACGCTCTGTCAATTTACTCAACCGATATGCAGGCAAAAGTGAAGTCTCTTCACCACAAACTCGTCGTTCTCTCAATGGTCAAGGTGATGCGCCATTAGAATCACCGCAGCTTCCCAATGTTCATAATGAAGAGGATGCGAGGGAACGAAGGGAGAAGAGAAGATCTCGAACTCTAGCTCAAGCAACTGGTAGTCCACTTGTCAAGGTAAAGTAAAGTATAGCAAAGTCTATTTTTCAGGATATTGTATAATTAATTGTTTGGTAGGGCTATGAGTGCTAGAAGCCTTCGGAGGGGGCCTTGAGCCATAAAATGTTGGAAACCGCAAAGGTCTTGTGGAATTATGACTTATAACAGATCTAAAACATTAGTATAGACCAGTCTGGATTTCATGGCCATTTTGAACGAGAAATCGGGCATGCAATCAGAAATTCCAGCGCGCAAATCAAAATTCCCGGCGTGCAATTATGAATAACGGCGTGCAAATCGACTGTGCTCGCGTGCAACTGATTTTGACTTCAGTTGCTGTTCAGTACACCGACCTGCGTAAAATGATTGGATAAAAATACATAACTTCGGAGCAGAATGTTCTGGTACTGTTCAGTACATCCGCTTAAAATTATTGGATGAAAAATTGGTTGAATCAGAGCAAAATGGACATTTGACCTTTGACACACAAACATTATTTCTACATTTTGTCATTAATTTTTGGGAGTGTTTTTGCGTAAAATTATTGGATGAAAAATACGCTGAATCAGAGCCGTAACTGACCAGTGTCGACAATTGTGGAGCTACAAATTGTTAGCATCTTTATATTACTGGATTATTGATTTAAAAACTATTTCAACCGATTTTCATTGGTGAGCAATTACAAATTATCGGCGTGCAAAATTGAATTTGCACTCATGCATTTTTGCAGAGTGCTAGCGCCCTCGGGCGTGCATCTGCCAGGGAATCCAGTCTGGAGTATAGGGGCCTAACCTGTCATAAACGCTATGCTAGTTTGTCAGAGTGAAATGGAAAATCAAATATCAATCTGATAATCTTGAAATGCTTGTTTTTTAGTCTGACCACTGGAGTCTGTTTTGCTTACCTTTCGTAAATTATCTATTTGCAGGCCGTGGGTGAAATTTTCGTTAGTTTTTATACACAACTAGATTTATTTAAAATTTTCTCTTTAGTGTTTTACGATCGGATAAATCTGATTATAAAAACCAACTATAATTTTCTATTTTTGAAGTCTTGATAGTTTTTCCTCACCCTTTCCCTTGAATCCAGAAAGTCATTTTTTCCAAAATCATTTTGCAGAAAAATCTTTGCAGTGATCAACCTATATTCGATACTTGTTACTGTGGCAAGTGATAAGGCCTTTGACTGGCAATAAATAATTTTAACATTGGCCAGTGGAGATAAAGTCAATTTGTATATGCAATGACATACATTTGAATGAATGAAATAAACCTTGATTCATATCACAGATTTTCAGTAATTTCCATGTTGCTGTTATATATGCTATTTATAAATGTTGAATATTACCAAGGTTTTTTGCTATTATTTTATAGCCTGTTGAGGAAGATCAGGGCGTAACAGCAAAATTAACCAACGATCAACTGGCATCACATTATGTAAACTGTATTAAACTATCAACGGAGAACAAAATCACAGTGAGTTTATTCTACTACATGTTAATAAGAACTGAAGCGTTTTTATTGCCGGCCATTTCAAAACATGTTAAATTAGGACTTTATTTTGGCAAAGGATCCCAATTTTAATTTGAAACTTCTGAATGTATTTTGATGTTTTGGGTATATCTGTGTAATATAATTTTGAAGGTTGCAGGCTTGCAACTGTATTTATGTTAATGGCTTTTAACTTGCAATGTTTTATCTTAAAAGAAAACAGTGTTATGTAATTTTGGAATCCTGCAAACTATGTTCAGAATTAATGATGGAAAATATTGTTAAAAATGTCTTGTAAGAGTTATTTTTCAATGGTAATTGGTAACAGTTATGTGGTTGTGCACGTGTTCTGTCACTCAGCCATTTTATCAAGTGCATTCTGTAACTCCTGGCATACTTGTAGGTTCCTACATGTGATCAAATGAGTGGATATAAATTTGTTTTTAAGCAATGGAGCCATAACCGTGTTATCAATTATCCGAACCTTCGCATATTCAGTTGCTCTTTGTTCAGGCTAAAAATGCTTTCAATCTGCATTTAATTGATCATATGAATGAAATGCTGAAGCAAAGATGCGAAGGAACACTCAATTTCCAGATGGCAGGAGGAACTATATTTGCAAGTGCAAAAATCTATGCATCCAGAGTTGATGCTGTGCATTCTGAGACTTACAAGTAATGTTTTTTATTTTTTTTCAACAAGATACAAAATATTAGAGCTCGACCGATATATCGGCCAACCGATATATCGGGCCGATATTGCATGTTTTTCCCGATATAATATATCATATCGGCCATACTCCGCAAGCGCCGGGATGCGTGCTTCAACAGCTCTCGCCTCTGCATAACTGCTGGTTTCCCAATATTTCCCTCACTTTCATTTTGCGTTAGAAAGGTGTCTCGCCTAATTCCTGTTGGCACATGATTAGCCATTTCATGCATGGTCATAACTGAAAAGTTATTATTCAGAGTAACGTTTTCGAGAGACTGCACAATGAGAAAAAGCAAATTTAGTATCAATAGAAAAGGGTGGTTCTATAAATAGAATCGATTTAAAGCTGGTGAGTTAGTAATCACAGAAACACAGTAGAATTAGCTCGAAGCAATAATGTCATCAAAGTAGTTCCGAATTTGTGACCTTCCCAAAATACATTTTGAATTTCTGGTGTAACAGTTTTATCAATATTGATGGTTGTTTATCGCTTTGCTGGGACTCACACAAAAAACCTTAATCCATTACAATTGACTAAATAAGGTATTGAGAGTTTCTAGAAACATAGTTATTATTAAAAATTTCACATGTTACCGCACATATGCCATCACAATATTGTAGGAATTTATCATTATCACGATTCACTTAAAAATATATCAATTTATAATTTTCCAATACCCTTAACATGTACCCACGGCCACAGTTATATTTAAAAACGTCAGATTAACAATTCTTTTTTCCGAGAAAGGCTTGACTGATATTGAAGTCGCAGGAAAAGTTACAGAATAACAATTGTTCAAGCATTAACTGGATTTAGTTAGGTAAATAAAAGTCTTACTGCAATGATAATAAATATTAAAATGAAACTACATATTTACAAGGTACATAATAAAAGCCCATTTTGTGGCTCAAAATATGATTTATATTAATATCGGTATCAGTTATCGGCCACTAGTTGGCCGATATATGAATATCGGTATCGGCGTCAAAAAGTGATATCGGTCGAGCTCTACAAAAATGTATGAATCAAAAAGCTCAAAGGGATAAGTTCATTATATGTAAGAAAGAACCTTACATACATTATTATCAGTTATCAAAATAATCTACACCTAAGAAGATGGACTTCATGTTCAAAAAGTATCATCATTCGTCTTCGTCCCTTTTTTATTCAGGTGTATGAAAATTTATGCAACTTTTTTCACAAATTCAGAATGTACATTAGTAAGTTTGGATTTACTCTTTATCGCAAGGAGGCTAAGAATTGTCATTATATGAGGACAGTGTTGCCAACTGTTCGGTGCTAAAATAATCTGGAATCTTCACAAAAAATATCTAGAATAATCTAAATTCAAAAAATAATATTCCAAATAATAATCCAAAAATACCAAAGTTACATTTTCAATGAAAAAACGAAGATTGTAATGTAAAGAAAAATGATTACTCATATCAATACAGCTTTTCGAACATAAGTAGGGTAACTTTAGTATTTATCATGAGAAAAAATGAAAGCTTGTTGCACCACAATAATTATGGATTTACTTTTTAGTGTCTGCAATCACCGAATATCAAATACACTAATAAAAAAGAAACAATATACAAATAACAATATTTATTGAAGTAAATAGAACATTGAATTTTCCTATTTTACTGTAATTTGGTTCCTTTGTCTCGAAATAGGGATACTACTAAGTTCACACAGCATAATTATCCGTGTGATACAGGTCATTTAATATTTTATTAATTATAAGCAAGTTATGCAACTACATGTACACTTTTGAAACAGTAACAGAAATTACAAGTACAAACTACAACTGTTGCAATTCTCTAAAGTTAATATCTTCTACATATGAAAGATCTATGGGATGAGATGCTGAAGTTGACTGGCTCTGATATTGGTAGACAGAGATTGTTCCTATCTCTGTAATGACTTTTGGTGGATACTTGTAAGTGGAGCAGCACTCTTCTTTTCTTATCAACCCAAATTCTACAGTTAAGATGGCATTCAGCAGCTGCAGTGACATTCTGTTTCTTGGTTTTGACTTGACATAACTCATTGCACTAAATACTCTCTCAATTTCAGCATTTGAATGAGGTAGAATTAGGGCTGAAATTGCACACTGGAAAAGTTCTAAAAATGGATTGCATCCTGAAGCATCTCTATAGTCACCCACTTCACTCCAAAAGGCTTCTGTATCATCCTTATGCACCCAGTCCACAAGATTTATCTTGCTTAGTTGGTATTCTGCTTGAGAGATAGATTGATCAGAGGCCCCCAAAAATTTCATAACTTCACAGATGGCAGCTTTGTCTTTAAGTGGTTGAAGCATGTTAATAACAGAGAAGCAAGAAATGTTCTGCAGAACTTTAACATTATCAGGTAGACGCTGTTTTAACTGTTTATGCAGTGCCAGTGAAAAATCACAGCATCTTTTTCTTATACAAGTTTCATCAGTATTGGTGAGTTTATTTTGCTTCTTCAAATCTTGAATTTTCCACTCAAATCTGTAGCCTAAGTATGGTTTTGGGTCCAGATACTCTTCAATGTTAGAATTAGGTAGATCAATATTACAGGTTGGCGATACAAGCTTTTTTGCAATTGATTTCATCAGCATTGTTAGATCATTTAATAGTTTCACTTTTTCAATGTTTTTGGATTCAAACAGTTTGTTTACTTGTTGTACTTCAGTCAAAATTGGACTTAGAAACAGAAGGAAGGCCAAATTTTTTTCATCTGAGTACATTTCATACAGAACTTCTGCAGTATAGCACTTTTCTGACAATCGTGAAACTTCAAAGTGGGTTTTTAGTTCCAGCCATTGTTCTAAGATTCTTTGAACAGCTGGTTGAATAGATAACCATCTTGTTTGACAATCTTTAGGAATTTTCAAAGGTGATGTGCCATCATTCAAAGTTTGATACAGAGTCTTATACCGATATTGCCTGGTAGATGAATGTGAGAACCATTTATGTGTTTCTGTAATCAAAAAATTAAGGTGTCTTGGCAGGCTATCTGCCGATGCTTGTGAGACTGCCAATTGAATAGAATGGCATACACATTTTATAAGAATAAGGGATGGTATCTCGGCCCTCAGTTGTGCATGAACATCGCACTCGCATTATCTGTTCTGATTGCTACAAGATTCTTCAGACTCAATTTATGTGAACTGAGTAGGTTCTTAATAGCTATAACAATGTGTTGAGCATCACAAGCTGTAAGTTCCAGATAGGTTGACACAATCTTTTTTTCAGACATGCTGTAATAAACTTTAGATATGCCTAGTAACTTATGTACTGTTATGTCTGTGGACTCATTTATCAGAATGCTGCCATCACCAATATCTCGTCTTAGGTCTGTTTTAAAATGCTCACACAAGAGTATTTCTTATGATATGGGTACATTTAGATCGGTGCATTTTCATTTCAGACACTGTTTTGTTTGTAGGGAGATTTCTTTTACATAAATCAACTAAATGGTCGCAATTAGAAATAGCTGAGTGGCAACATAAAAATGTGGAAATAGACGCTTCCAGCTCTGCTGTTTCAGAGTTTTTAAGAGTCATAAATGGATCAAGAGTCCTGGTAGTGAATGGACAAGCTTTCAAATGTTTCTGAGTTTTAGTATGCAGCTTCAAATCTTGATATTTTGCTTTGACATCACATTTACAGACTTTGCAGAATGCCTTAGATGCATCAGCAGCCACGGGCGCTATCCACTCTTTCAGTGAGTCATCTTTTAGCCACTGTTTTCGAAATTTCTGGTTGTATCGTTTGCCACTTGTTTCTTTAGACATATCTCCCTTGTCTGCTTGTTGTTTTGAGCACTATTACTGCAGTACCTTTTCTGTATTTATTCTCTGCATATGTTATTCACTGCTATAGGTACCGGTGAACTGCACTTCACTTCTTTGCCACTATACAGCTAGAGAACAATGCAAAATAACATTTGTCAAAATAATCTAAATATATCTAAATGAATGCTAAATTAATCTAGAAAATAATCTAGCATCTAAATGGGTATTTCTTACATCTAAATCATACGAAAATAATCTAAATCTAGATTTAAATAATCCAAGTTGGCAACACTGTATGAGGATCCCTATATGTCAGTTTAATTTTATCTTGGATTTGTTTTAAGGGTCATGAGTAGTCTTGGGAGAGGAGCATCTAATGAAAAAGATGGCTCTGATGAAGAAAGTCAAGAAGACAGTGAAACAAGACATCGCGGAAAAACAAAAAAGAAGCGATCAAAAGTAAAATCAATACTACTTGTATTATTTTGAAAAAGCAGGAAATTTAAATATTGGATACTTTTAATTTAATTTTGTCATTCCCTTTCTGTACAGCTAAATCAGATTCAATCAACCTTCATTTCAAACATTTTCATATCAAACTGATAAGAAAATAAAGCAAATACAAGAAAGTAGTCAACTAAAAAAAAACATGTGAAATAAATATATTCTGTATTCAACTTAATTAGTAGAATTAGTCAGAAATAGAAAGCAATACAATGCATTGTAACTTGCTTGTTGAGATTTGACTTAGCACAATTGTTTTTGAAAATTTAGACTTTTATAGTTTGGAGTAAAATCTGAATTTCTAAAAAATAGCGTTTATTAGAATTTCTGAATTAGGTTGTTGGTCTCAATTGGAAATTTCATCTCTAATTTTAGATTCTGGAATCCAATACTTCATCCTTGAGAATGAAGAAAATGGATGCGAGTCACCAGGTGGATCCCTTAGATCAATATTATTCGTCTGTCTTTGATCTTGCGAGTACAAGTGGACTCCTCGTTAATCATTTGGGTTTCTGCAGGGATGGCATCACAATGAGATTTGATTCGGAGATGGATTCTCCTATTACAAATAATCCATCTGGAGGCAAAAAATTGCCAGTTTTGTGTGAGTAAAAATTTATTTCTTGTTAATTTTTTCCCCTCATTTCATTCAAAAATGCGCAATTTCTTCATTCCGTTCTTTCATAAATAATCATTAGCAATCCTGGTCATTGACGCTCGGTTTAATTATATTTTTCTCCACTTAAATCAAGGTGCCTAATAAGTACTGTCAACGGCTATATGTTTGAGTGAACCAAATTTAATATACAGCCATCGGATGGGTTATCCAGCAGGGTTATTACAGTGTTCATATTTTTTATATTGTGCACAAGCCAATTTTTTTTGTATTTTTCCAATTTTAGCTGAAACTTCCGAAGAAGATGAACAAAAACATGTTGATGGAGAAAAATCTGATCGATCTCAGGAAATTAATGCAATGTTTTTTGAACTTGTCAAACTTGCATCAGATGTACCTACAGCTAATTCTGGAGTTTGTCCGACCCTCAATAACTTCCATTGGAAAGAATTAGAAGATGACAGTTTCGAATGGCATGAAGAAAAAATGGCAGGTTAGAAAATGTGACTGCATGGTTTATTCATGATAGAATTAGTTGGGAATGTTTTTCTAAATTAATTTCTATCATGTTTCTTGTGAATTTATTGCCAATTCATACCAATATCTACTGTGTTCTTTCTATAAATAAATTCATTTTAAATAACCTTCATATGTACAAGCTGATAGATTGCCATGTGCCAGTACTGATCAAATGTCTTGATTATATGAATGTACTGTGTAAACTTACCTTTACTTGATTTACTGTACATGATATCACTTGGCTTGTTGATGACTATATTATGCGCTTAGTGCACATGTGCGTGCACATACAATAATATAATATTGTGGCATCTAACAAACTATGAAACTTATATAACTATAACAGTAACTAATTTATTGAATAATTTTAGATGTAAATGAGCATGATTCGGATGTTATTATCAACACGGACAGTCAACCTGAATTTGATGACATTGAGGATGATATAGTAGCAACTTGCTTCTCATCAACTCATGAATCACCAACAGAAACAAAATCAGAACCACCTGACAATTTGGGGAGTTTACCTGCTGGAATGGATGCAGGGTTGCTGGCTTCTTTCATGCCTGGGGAATATTCCTACTTCAAAGCCGGAGCATTTTCAACGTGGGAGGGACCTAATCATTGGAAGTTGAGGGTGAGAAAGCCTCCCTCATCAGGTAGGTCGAAGTCAGGGTTGTCCAAAACGAATCGAATATTCGAAATTATTCGAATATCAAGGTATTCGAATACCTTTTCGGCTCATTTCCGAATAATTACGAATAGTAGTCACTTTTCGCCGTAAACACGGTGTTTCGTTTTACCGGAATCTTCAAACGACTTTTTACGCTTTCTCACGTATTGTAATGACGATGAAATAGAGTCGGCATTTTGATTGTTTATATTCAGCGCGAATGTACGTCGCATAGTGTTGCGACACATTTGCACGTTTGCGTTGGTGGACATTGCCGACATTCGTCTTTTAATTCACAAAATCATTTCCATTAGTCGAAAAATCGACTATCACCGTATTTCCCGGCTAATAAGTCGCTTTTCTTGACCCAATTTTGGCTTCATTTTTTGGGGGGAGGGGCGCCTTATTGAGAAAGCATGTTTATTTTATTTCTCGCATTAGTCTTCTCAAGCATAATTTGTGTTAAACCTTATATTTGGTTCTTATGGGTCTGCCAATCATGATATTTAATCGTAGGCCGGTTATCGTTACTTAAAAGAGAGAACACGGCCACCGCCACCGAGATAAAGTAAGTGATTTATGACCCTTTGGTTTTGCCGATTCAGCAGAACACGACAGGGACAGGAAAACACAGCTGTGAAATAACCCGTGGACGTACAGTGTGTTACTTATCACATTCCAAAATTATTTCAACATTCGGGTTAATAGGTTGTCCAAAATGATTGCCGTTTTACAACTTAAATTTACCGCTCAATTGTTAAAAATAGTTAATTCTGCAAGTATGATTCTACCAAACTAACATGATCTGGTTCTAAACATAATAAAATTATTAGCGCATATCAGCATAACTGAACAACAGGGACACAATTTTTCTACCCGTCTTATTGGAGACCTGTATGGAAAAAAACCTTTTTTGAGTGCTAAAAATAGACATCCTCCTATTTGCCATGTGGACATATTAGCCCGGAAATACGGTATTTATAGCCGTCATTGTTACGATATCCAATAGATTGTCACAAGTTGGAAAAACAAGTCATTTATTAGAAAATAATTTCTGGCAAATATTTCTGATAACGATAGTTAAAAGTATCGATCCTTTAGCACAGTGGTTCTTAATATGGGTCGCGACCCAAACATGGGTCGCGGAAGGTTTAAAAATGGGTCGCGACAAGGTCGTCAATGCAAGGGCAATCTAAAAGGAGAAGGAAGAACTTTCAGCTTTCCCAATGTTTCAATTTAGCTTCTGAACTCTGGTATTTAAAAATAATGAAATATAAAATTTCATTCACGGAAAGACCTGTCTTGAGCTCATTGTTACATCACAATTCTGATATGCCAGTCACGTGTATTATTTTTATGGTATCGGTAACCATGCACGTCGCTTGTCGTTGTGTTGACCGCGTGGAATGTCGTCTTAGTGGATTAAAATACCCAAAAATGGGTGTCTTTTTGGTAATGTAAATTGTAATAGACGACGCAATGAAAAAGCTCGCTTCTCGACATTAGATTATTCAATATCTAGAGAAAATGTGACTTCATCTCGAGGCACCATTTACCGCGAACGAAGCAGTGTGTGCACATTTGATGAGTAAAAAGTTGTATATTGCGAGAGATACCGAAGGCCAGCTAGGATGTCGTGTTTGCGACGGACAGCGGACGCCTTTTCTGCTACAATTCGTGCGAGGATATTTGGCACTGACGGTTATCAAAACTAGCTTGCAATCGCCTCGATACCCGTGACAACTTGCGTATTGCGTTAAGTAAAATAGAGCTGTCAGCTGTGTATTGAAAATATAATGAAAAGGAAATTTCAGTTTCATCAATCTCACTGAGTCAATGGACTGTTTCTAATAAATAGTTGTCTGTATTTGAGTCAAACTGTACTAACATTAAAAACACATTTTGCGTTATTTAGGATTGGGTCGCGAGTATTCATAAAACTCAGATTTGGGTCGCGCTCGAAAAAGTTTAAGAACCACTGCTTTAGCAGGATGATTTTTTGTTGCGCAAAATAATCCAATCCATGACTGGTACCAGCATTTAAAATGTCATGCCGTATTAATTTAATTCTGTTCAATGTAACTCATGGTTGTATCGACAATATGTGGACATAAAATGGATGGATATCGGTCAGATTACCACAACTGACCGATAATATTAAATATTGATTTCCATTTTTATATTGACAAAATATTGAAAGTATTAATACCAAATACCACGGGTATTTGTGGACATGAAATACGTGGTAAACTGCCCAATTATAATTAATTTCGGATTCGTATTTACAAAATAATAAAACTATTATAATTCTAAAATGCAACGGCGATCTGTGGCCTTAAAATGTGTGGTAAACTGCCCGATTTACCAACATTTGAGTTATGATAATAGAATTAAATTAACACGGTCGGGCATTTTTAAAATATAATTAGTTTTTGATTCTTATTTTACGAAAAATTGTCACAAGACGGAAAAAGAATTTATACTTTATCCCACTCTTGGGAACTAATTTGGATAATGTTTGCCATTGGTTTGTATTTAAGAGTATGGACTTTTTACTAGGATGATTTTGTGTTACGCAAATATTCAAATCCATCATCGATACCACTATTGCCGTATTAATTTAATTCTGTTAACATGACTCTGGTATATAAAATATATACTGCAATAATCTGCAAATATGAAATGCCTGGTAATATAGCTAGGTTGTAACTTGTAGATAGCAGTTATTCCATTGCTTATTATATGGAAATTCTTACATACATTTAGATAAGCTTCAATTAGTGGATTTTATTTTCGAAGTATTCGAAATTTCATATTCGAAAAAAATAATTTCGAATGTATTCGAAATAGTGAACTATTCGATATTGGCCATCCCTGGTCGAAGTATATTCTTTACTGGTTACTCTTTCATATAAAAAACTTGTATTAAAATAAATCAGCTGGAGTATAGTGTACTAAATGATCTGCTATTCTTATTCAAACATTGATGCGTAATATATGAACCAACTAACCAAGTGAACATATTTATTAGTTTTGCATTGCATTCTGGAGCACAGCCAGGATTTTCGATGGAAAGTGGGTTCGAAATCAGAGAATTCCTATGTAACGGCTTGTCCGCTTCTGGAACATTCGACATGATTACGCCACTTGTTAAAAGAGAGCAGACTTTTTTAGGGACAATGATTTTCTGTTGCAGAAAATATTTAGTTCATGACCGATACGAGCATTTAAAATGTCTTGTCATATTAATTTAATTGCGTATTGTATTAATTTAATTCTGCTCTCACAAACTTTTATTTAGTTTTGATTCCCATTCCTTCAATTATCTTTATCGCCCTGTCATCTGTGATTGCACAAAACAAGTTTTTCTAAACCGAACGCGCTGTTTCAAAGTGCAAAAAAATTTCGACTCTTGACCCTAGTCCATAAGTAACTCATTTTAATAATGAAACCTTTGGTTTAGGCAGGCCTTCTTCGAAATCATTAGAAATGGCTTTTAAAGAAGCTTTAATAAGCCTATATTCTGAGTTCAATTAAAACATTTCCCATGCATTCAATTTTCATCTGCATTGTTGCATCCTGGTAACGTTTTGGTCTGATGATAGTCAAATATATTTATTTACGCCACAGATACAGCCTCTGAACAAAGTTCGGAAAAAGATAAAATTGCTAAAGGGAAAAAGAGGAAACGAAATTTTTATGTGGATTACAAGACTGCAAAGTATAATGTGGATGAAAAAGAATTCGAACTTACAAGGAAAACAAAAGAAGCGTCCAAGCGTTTGAGGGAGAAATGGAGCAAAGCTGAAGATGATCGCTTGTTACCATCAGCAGGAGAATATAATGTTTTAGATCTGGCCAAGTATGCTGTAAAATATACCTCCACTTAACTATTGATTCAGTTTGTTATTTTTAGAGCTCGACCGATATATCGGCCAACCGATATATCGGGCCGATATTGCGTGTTTGCCGATATATCATATCGGCCCAATCGGCCGATATATCTGGCCGATATATATCAGCGTTGGTCGCTTTTCCACGTTCTAAAAAATGAGTATTTTTCCCCGGGAAATATCTGCGGCCGAGCGTTTTCCTTTTTTACGCTTCTCTCATTTTGCCTTTCAATGAACAGAGAGTTCTCTTCTATATTTCTCTCTTCGTGCGGCGCAAAATCCTCGCCTTCGAATATCTTGCGTCCCCACTAGGCTTGCACGTAATCGACAAAAATCAATTCCGTAATTACGGAAAAATTGATTACGTAATGACCCCGTAATTGCGATATTTTTTCACACGTTTAAACCTATCATAAAAACCATTCGAATCCACTTCTTTTCCGAATGGGACATCGAAGTTTGGTTTTCATATTACCGACAGTACTACACGCCGGCGACAGATGTTAAAGACAAATACCAAGGAGTGAATTCAAATTAAATTTATTCTGATTTTTATCTTGTTTAATTGTGTTGGCTTTGATTTTCCTTTATCACGTTCGCAAATTAACCGTCCCAATTTTATGCAATCAATTTTATCATTACCGATAATGGTATACGGATATTTATGAAACGATAGTTGCCTTTTTTAAAATCGACTTTCGTATTGAATAAAAATTTCGGGTTTCTAAGTTATTAATCAACGACAAACGTATTTTCTCGTTTGATTATACCTGCGCTTGCCTCGCGACGAAGACTTGTTATTGCTCCGTTTTTTTACATTATCCGACTTTGCTACCTAGTTAGCATTTTATAATAATTATTGATGCTGAATTATTGACGATATTCCGATTACCAAGCTCCATTTTATATCAAATCATTTGGCGGCCTAAATGTTATAACATTATTTGCGATAAATTTAAATCAAATAATAATTATTTAGCCGGCGATAAATTCTTAACTGTAAATTGTTGTAAATTAATGCTAATAAATTCTATTTTGTTTTTTAATTAATGCGCTGTGATTTGTATTAATAAAAGTGATTGAGTCAGGAAAAGAAAGTAGCCTAGCCTCCTCTTCTTTTGAGCGCTTATAGCGGCGGTAAAATTCGTTTCATGTCTGTTTCACAGAGAGAAAGAAAAATACGCCTTCCGGAATTACAATCAACTATCACACATTCTTATTTATCATTATCAGCGCCGAATAAAAAAGATACCAAATCGTGAAGACAAAAAAGTCTGTTGGTGCTAATTGCGTTACGGTGATAACGCTTATAATAATATCGTTTTGACCGTGAAACCAAACGCTCAAACGGGGTGGCAACGCGTCATGCCGGCTCAAAACGGCTGCAAATACCGGAACTCTAACTTCTTCCATACTTGTTAAACTTTGATTTTTTACAATCGACGGAATTGACTGCTTGGAAGGAGCACGTTTCGAACGCGAAAGCGCTCGACCAATAATTACGACTTTACGTAATTTGTAACTTCCCTTCCGTAACTCCAAACAATTCCGTAAATTACGTGCAAGCCTACTCCCACCTACTACTGTATGGATCAAAATGGACTTCTATAAGCTTTTTACTGACTGCCTTTTTTCTCTTGTGCATTAATGTGTGTTCTTATTATTTGCTGCGAAACTTTTATTAATGATGCAAGCACTGTGTAGGACTGCTTTATTTTTCAGCATAAACTTTTGATTGACTGAAACTGAATGTTTCTTTCTATTTGTATTTACTGCGGGTTCGAGTTGTAGATATCGGTATGTCAATATCGGTTATCGGTATCGGTGCAAAAAAGTGATATCGGTCGAGCTCTAGTTATTTTGTTACTCTACTACTGTGCTTATGGATATTTTATAGGCCAGGGGTGTGCAACCTGGCCCGGCAAGCCGTTTAGTGTGGCCCTCCTTGTCAACACTCAGATGTTCCTGCCAAGCCTAAAAACCTAATCCGGCAGTGTATGTTTAAAAAGGCGGTCACATTGGTAAAAATACACAATGTTTTTTTTAGCGCTTGTCGCTGCTTCAAATATTATGCTGTTTTGTCTGGTGTCTTTATTGCTGTATGGCTAAATGATAGCCACATTCTCTTCTCTTGCCTATTTTAATTCTTTGTGTGCATAGAAAAACTAAATTTTATGTTTCGCCCAGCTTGATGTCTGAAAATTGGTTACCGGTATATGTCCCATCGACAAAAAAGATTGCGAACTCCTGTGATAGGCTCTAAATCCGATTTTGGTCAGATAAGATTCAGTTACATGTGCCCAAGATTTGTCACAGATAATACTTCACTTCTCTTTCCTATTGTATTAAAAATGTTGGCATACTTTCTTTCATGTTAGTTCTAATTGTGTTCGTTGTTTATTGTGGAGTCTGTGACCAGTTTGACGAATTCTAATCAACTTCCAAATTGGTATTCGGCATTTACAACTATTCTATTGGAGTACCCTGTCTATTTCCTTCTTTACCAAATATAATTTTCACCTGAGCAGTGTTCCCTCTAAAGTGTGCGCGTGTGCACGCGCACACAGCTTTCAGAGGCTGCGCATAGATTTACTGCACACAGACCTATTTCGATGTAATGTAACAATGTTCTCGGTTGGCAGGTTGAGAAAGTTTGTTGTTGGCCCACCCATTACCTGGTTAGAACGCCAAAATTTCTTCATTGGTATTTGCACAAATATTAGTCATCTCCAAAAAAGTGCGCACATACCAAAATTTCTGCGCACACGTACTACAAAAAATTAGAGGGAACATTGCACCTGAGTAATCTAATTATTTTTACTTTTTTAAAATAAGGTGTGTTCTTCAACCGGGAATTGAAATTCGGCCAGTCTTATTGATGCGAAACTCTAAAAATGAAACTCCAGTCCCTCAAGTTGATTCAGACAAGTTGGGAATGTATAATTATGATAATCCCAATGACAAAAATAACTATTGTCCTGTTATGACGGACGATGAAGAAGGTATTCAAGGTGATGATGGTGGGCAAGCAGATATTTCACCAGGTAGGAACATTACTGCATGGCTTTAGTTTTTTGTGTGAACGTTTCCTCAAATATCGGTTTACTTGTTTACTCTCGTACCATTGGTTAATCACCAAGATGGTAATGGTGATGTTGCAATTGGAATTTTATATGCTGCTTGGAAATGTTTGTTTATATCTGTCTCTTAAGAAAGTTCATGAAAATAGATGTGTGAACCACCAAATATCTTCAATTTATTTATAATATGCTGCGTTTCATAACACAATAAACTGTTTTATAGAGTAGCATTCGATGCTACAGTGACTAATCTCAATATAGCTAATAAATATTAAATATCCAGGTTTCGAAAATGATGGCAATCGGTCAGATAGAGATGGCGGGTTTCCTGACATGACCTTGTCGCAAACCCAAGTATTTGGGTCACAGTTTGATGTAGAATCTATGTTACAGGGGAGTCATCTCATTTCACACCCTAAAAAGGTAATAAATTCTTTATGCTATTTCTTATTGAGAAGAAGAATATGTAGTGAAAACAGCCTTGAACTTCTATGTCTGATGAGAGTATGGAGGTTTTCTTTCTGAACATACAAGTTTTCCATATCTTTAATCCTTTTAATGTTTTATACAGGTGGAAAAAATATCGATAGCTTATGCTAAAAAGGCAACAAGGATAGATGTGCGGAGGTTGAAAGCTGCAATGTGGACTGTTCTACATAAAGACTCTGAAAATGAAAGGAATTCAAATTCAGTGTCAACACCAACACATTCCAATATTCTAAATGGAAATGATTCTGAAAATGGAGACGACTCTGAGTCAATTGAAGACAAAAAAATGTTTACAGACATGTATTCATTTTTGCCAAAGCTGATGCCTGCCAATATGACTGAAAATCTTTCAATACCTCTTGCGTTCACTTGTTTGCTGCATCTTGCAAACGAAAAATCTCTGAAAATCGTTGCAAAAACAGACATGTCGGATCTAAATATTGCAGAACCAGAAGCCGATTTCACATGAATATATTTGAATATTTGTAGTAGAAGAGCTAGACTTGTAGTTTTTTATTAATTTTGTTTCTTGCTACATACATGCACAGTTTATTCAAAATTTAGCTTGTTGAAGCAAGTTTTTTTTGTCAGTGTAACCGCTTGGTTACCAAGAAGAAGTGTTTCGTGGCAGAATTAGATGATTTAACTTCGTTGTTACATTGGGTTACATTTCATACATTCACAAGTATGGTGTTGATTGCTAGGCTTGTTAAAGCAAGCTTTTTCGTCAGTGTAATTGCTTGGTTACCAAGAAGAAGAGTTTCGTCGCAAAATTAGATGATTTAACTTTGTTGTTACTAGGAATGCCACTTTTGGATTCACGAATCGGTTCGAATCGCATCTTTTTCGAATCAGATTTACGCGATTCCGAAGAGAGAGCGATTTACCGAAAAAAAAACATTGAACGTTTGTTAACGTTGTTTTCGGCGGTTTTAAATCTGCCCAATGCGTTTATGCGGCACTCCAATTAACGCCAAATTACAGGACGTAAATAAATGAAAATGAATTTTTCGTGATTGACTTTTTTAATTATCTGCTGTCATTTGTTTCAAGTTCAGCACAACACTCTTTTACCATCACTCGAGATGATGTGTGGCGTAGTTTCCCCCGAACTGCGAGTTCAGTTTTCCACTGAATAGTCTAAGTTTCTATTATGCGCGAATTTAAATGGATCGTATACCTGAAAATTCGTGACAATTTTGATGAAAATTTTCAACAGCACACCTGCACTCCGCCTAAGCATTGTACGCCCTGGCATGATTGTGTAAAGAATCGGCTACCGACGTCTAAATAATAATTAATTTTGATTGAAATTCAATTTAAACATTGTTCTGAGTGAAATGTTTCGCGTACATTTGAAGAGAACTATTACTGAATGAGTTCATCGGCCGGCAATGTTTATTGACAATCATGTTTCTCATCCTAAAATATATATTTATTTTGTTTGTTAGGCTTCCACTCCAGTGGCGGTAAACGAAATCGGGGACATAATGTAATATAGTATTGAAACGTATTTTGTTGTAATTGCTAATTAAACTAGTTAGATATTAATTTGACGCCAAACAGAATATATAATAGGTTACTTGTTCAAGTTGAGATGTCTGTTTTTTGATATAACAGCAAGAATCTAGACATTCTAGTTTAGACCAGTGATTCTCAAACTAGGGTTTGAGAGCCGCATGCGGCTCTCGACAACCTTTCCTGCGGCTCTTGTTAATGGTTTGAAAATTAATTACTTTCAAAGAAAATTTTTCATTGAAAACTAGCCATTGACTTGAAATTAAAATGCAGAAGTCTATTAGTCAGTCGAATGGATTCCCCCGTGTTTATTTGCGTAGTGTTGACTAATCTACAATATGCAATAGTGACGCAACAGTAAGCGTTTTCGCGACCACTCGGACACTTTTCACTTGGAAAGATTTTAGACATGGCTGTAATCATTGGCTTACTTTCGTGGATTTTCAATTATTGTCGCATTTCCGAATATTATGTATAAATCAAATAACTCAATGATTATTTTAGTATTTAGTATACCCTTGCGTTCCCATCAGCGACAGCTGTTGAATACATTTGGGCTGATTTCAAAACCAAATTAATTTTATTCTGAGTTTTATCCTCTGCCTTGGATTTGACCTTCCTTATTACCGCTTGGAGATTAACCGTGCCTGTTTAAAGTGAACAGTAACCGAGATGCAGATATTTATTGAAATGATAATTGAGTTTCTCATGCTTTTCCATGGTGTTCGTGTTATTTTATTATTAGATAGATAAACCTAGCAAATTTACGATTTTGTGAATCCTGAATGTTGATTTAAAACAGCGATTAAATAAATTGGCAATAAAGGCCTTAGGGCATAATAGAGGGCCAGACGCTAATTATAACTAATTCCTTCAAGTTTTAACGTTATTTTTTCAACAAAACAACACCCCGATGGTTATTATAGCTAAAATACTTACTGAGTAATACTCAATTTTCTTTACGGAATTTACAAATTCAGTACTTCACTTAATGGTTTTGATTATGTCATGCCTTAAGGCTAAATTATTACTACCCAAATGCTTCAAAATCCAACAATTGTAATCATTTTCGATGATAATAGACGCAACAATTCGTGAACGAGTCAGTGTGCATTGTTACAACAAATGCACGATTGATTTTACGTTCTACTCTTGGTTCAACGGCCATGCATGGTCGAGCTGATAGAAAGTGATTTAAAGGGAGTAGCACATGACATTTCTTATATGGTTACTACAACTTTTAATGAGTGTTTTTCATACAAGTAACTCATACCAGCTTTTGGAAAAACTTTTGGTCATTTTTAAATCCATGCTATTTATATAAATAGAGTTTTCTAACGACCCAAAATCGCCCTTTTCACAATGAAACGCCGAAAAGTCATTTTAACATTCAATTTTAATCAACTTTATGTTCGGTAATGCAAGAAATGGCTAATGACATGTCACCAAGCATGCGGACTTTAAAATCTGGGAAATTTATTTTAAATACCCAATTTGGTTTGACGTTTCTAAATTTACGGAACGGTCGGTAAGTTTTTTTTGCAAAATATGGAATTGAAACGATACGTTAAGTGCAAAGATAGCATATAACCCAAAGACAACGACTTTTCAAATTTGTCGTTTTTTTCTGATAGCGAGCGCCGTTGGAAAATCTCACACAATCCACGATTGAGTTGGAGACGCGCGAATTCGGTGTCCAAGCAGAGCGGTTCAGGTCACGTGGTACCAGATATTCGAGTAGTAAAATATCGTTCGAATATATGCCCAGCCCTAGTTGTTACGTGTGTTGTTGTTACGATAACTTGATATTTTAAATACGCGCTTAAGGTTTGTTGCTATTTTACCTTGCGTTATTTGTGTGCGGCTCTTCATAACTTTGAGGTGTGAAATGCGGCTCTGGGACTGAAAAAGTTTGAGAACCACTGGTCTAGACAATTGCCTGTATAGATTTTATTTCCTTCGATAAATATATTACAATAAATTAAATCGAATAAACCAACTCACAATTCAAGTTATTATTAGTAACAGTTGATTGGTAGAGATCATCAGATTATTAATACTTGACGATAATGAATCTCCTTGTATGTTTTTTTTATTATTAATAAAAACATCACATAACACATTTATATAGACACAATAGCACTAATACATTTGCATTTAAAAAAACGAGCACATAATAGTTTTCCACTTCTTATTATGGATTGACAGTTCACCATTTTTAGTTGCAATAGTCTTTTTACAGTTATAATATTTTTTATCATAAATAAAAATTGGCGAAATTGAGGCCTTTCATTACGCAGTTTACATTTGTATATAAAATATCTGGCACATAATAAAACACAGTTTATACCCTGGTTTTGCCCTACACCCAATAACATTTCTCTATGTGTCAAATTGAAGTTTAATCCATACCTAACGGTTAGCCAAGCGTTAACTATTTCCCAAAATTGCTGCACAAATTCACAGAGATAAAATTAATGTAACACAGTTTCAACATGCATATTACAAAATGTACATTTTGGACTTTGTGTTTTACTTATTCTATATAGCAGGTCATTAGTGGGCACTGCTCGCAAGGCAAATTTGACATTGGAATGAACGAAGTCTGAATTTAATAGAGCAATAAAAAACTTTTTCATACAATGTCAACGAATTATCTAAGTTCCTGCACAATTCTTTTGACCATTTTTCTATTTTTCCAGTTGGTGGCAAAAATTTTTCATTACAAAGCTTATCATAAATATATCGAGACGTTTTATCAATGCTTTTAATATCTTCGATAAGACTAAGATGTGGATTGACTTGTGAGGTTTTTGAAAAATTAGTTTTTCATTGCTGGGGTATACATGAAATAATTTTTAAATACGCTAGCATGTCATCATAAAAACTAGAAAAACAATAATGATGAGAAACAAACGGAAACATTGCAAGTTGCTGATTAGAATCACAAATATCTTCAACGAAGCAAATATTTCTACTATTCCATACCATCTCCTTGTGTGTTTGAGATCGTATTTAAAGGGGCACAACAATTTATTTTATACTTCTCGATTGTTCGAGACCGTTCTTACACAGATTATTCATGTAAGACAAGGTCATTCGACATATCACACGGGAATTATTCGCATGTTATGTTGAAACATCATATTGGAATGTTCTAGAATATTCCCTAATATTTATGACTTAAATATTATATTTAGTTTTGATGTCATTATTTCCAAAATTTTTGGTTAATTTGTTACAGTACATACACGTCTTTTTTCAGCTGTTACAAAAAAAAGAGTAGTATTTAATTTTGCTGGCGCGATACAAGCGGGAATAAAACATTTCGGATTATTTCTAGCAAATGTCATAACGAACAGGTGGGAGTAAATAATACTTGAGGAATTGCAACTTGTGCACTGTTTTACATCAACACGTGCCATATGTTTGATCGAGATAAAGCGTCGACTAATTATCGCTCGTCAGCGCGGCGTCCATTATGCACATTCAAACTTTCTCAATTACGAAATTATACGTAGTCCACTATAATAATGAAGCCCGAGTTAGCCAAAACGCTGTTAGCCACAAATTATATTGTCTCTAATATTTATGGAAATTTTTGTTCGCAATCGTAGTCGGGTGAAAGATTGTTTTTCTCGAAATTAATTTAATTTGATCGTGGTTAATGTTATCGTCTTCAATCATATGCTTGCAAGCATTCCCCATTTATAGTAATTCAGATGTAATTAGAATGTTTTTGTCGTAGTACCCTATGCTTCTAGCATAAATAGAAAATATTGTACTAAAATTTTGAAGATAAAGAATCGGTAATAAGGCCGGCCTTAATACATATATAACAAGGAGTGAAATACCACAGTCACATATACAGAAAAGGCCATTAGACACTAAGTCAGCTCTTTCAACGAACGCGTAATTGCGGCGAATTTTCGACTTTGAAAATCGTTAAAATTCTGTTGTGTTTGGTTTTATTGCTTCTTCACACAGAGTACGATTGCAATAAACGCCCCTTGAGTCCGCAAAGATTTTCGCCGGTGAGAAAATAGTCCGCGACCAAAAAAGGTTGGGAAACGCTGGAACATCTACACATACCATGAGAGTGAATTTTTAATTGAGTGAGTATTATATCGCATTTAGAAAACAAAGTACACGCAGATCTAAAATATGAAA